CATATCACAATATCCATTAGGTATCATATATCCCCGAATACTATTTTTAAATTACAACGAAAAACCAAGATCGTTAATATTGATTTTAATATGTAATTTCGTCCAAATTTGGATTTAAAATGTCTGTAAAAATTAACTGTGTTCATATATTTTTTAGATTTTTTGGTTAAAGTATGAATTATTTAAGAGAATCTTTGTTTTAAATTTTCAACTCTTAGTTATAAAAACTGAACATTTTATAATTTTTTAATTCCAACGATTGATAATTTTCGAGATTTTGATAAATTTTGTCAAAATTCCAACTTTAAATGCTTATAAAAAAAAATTGTGCCTATGTATTTTTAATATTTTTCAACTGTTATTGTAACAATATATCAGGAGCCTTGTATTAAATTTTTACACTTTTTGGCCCAACAGATAAAACTTTATTAATATTTATAGAAAAAAAAACTAAAAAAATTGAAAACTGAAAATGTCCGTAAACGGCTCAAAAAGAGTCAAAATATTTTCAAAATTGTATGGTGTATAGGAAATGCTAATATAAACATTCAGTGAAATTTTCATGTATTTACAGTAATTCGTTTTTTAATTACAACAAAAAAAGGAAATTGCCACATGAGAAATCGAGTGAATATCCAATGTTGTAAAAATTTGAATTTCAAACGCTCATAAAAATTTAATTTGACTTTCCGGTAGAGATTTTTTTATTGATAAAGGTAGACAATCTTATGAGTAATCTTGTATTAGATTTTCAAATCTTAGATTTAAAAAGAAAAATTTTTACGAATTCTTAACTCAAAATAATTTGCTAATTTTCGTGATTTTTCCATATTTTGTCAATTTTTGAACTTTAAATGCTTATAAAAAAAATTGTGACTAAGGATTTTTAATATTTTTCATCTGCCTTTGAAACAATATATTAGGAGCCTTCTATTAAATTTTCAAGCTTTCGCAACTAACAAATAAAATTTTATTGATATTTCTAGAAAAAAAACTAAAAAAAAACTAAAAATGAAAATGTCCCTAAACAGTTCAAAATAAATCAAAATATTTTGAAAATGTTATCGTGTATAGAAAATGCAAATATAAACAACCAGTGAAAATTTCATGTATATACGTTCATTTGTTTTAAAGTTACACCAATAACCAAATCGATTTTTTGGAAAATCAATTTTGCGTAAAAATTCCCGTTTTTCCTTAATTTTTATGTTGTTTTTCCCGGCGCTTGTGAAAACTACTGGAAAATGTTAATCTTTGACCTCCCCAAATGTACCAACGAGATTCACTTTCCTATCAGAAAAGGTACTATTGAAGAAAATCGAAGCACCTTTACTGTCCCAAAACGTGATGACAGACACAAAAATATAAATAAAAATATAAATAAAAATATAAATAAAAATATAAATAAAAATATAAAAATATAAAAACATACATCATTGTAAAACCAATACATTCATCGCTCCGCTCAGAATCTAAAAAAGGTTTACTATAATGATACTTTGGAAAAATGTTCGCAAAAGATAAGCTCGAAGTCTCGGTCATTTTGAAAACTCCGAAGCTTATATTAAAAAAAAAAATTAAAATTCGTAAGCAAATTGATGTAAATGGAGAAAACAATTTTTCTCTTTCCCGAAAACCGAAACGGAAAATTATATAATAATATATTATGTTTTAATTTCAGGTTATTATGAAAATCAAATTACAAGTCACTCAAGTCAAATCTAAAATAAAATTGATGGTTTCTTTTCCTTATTTTAAATGTATCTATTTTTATGTTTTTTAATTTTATTAGAAGTTTACGTAAAAATATATAAGTATAGAACCATAAAAAAAAGAGTTTTATAGAATCAAATGGTGAATAGAACCAAAATTACCTGCACCAATTTTATCGCATTAGCGGAACTCACTGTATAGTATCATACGTAGGTACTAGGTATGGTATATGTTATTGACTATTGTCACCTATTTAGTTGTTTTTAAATTTAATTGTGTATAAAAGATAATATTATAGGCACCTACGTAATCAGTGGTGTAGCCAGAATTTTAAAATGGTGGAGGGGAGGGTCGAATGCCAAAACACTATATTAAAAAAATAATTACCCAATAATTAACAATAATAATTTATTTTTATATTGCTTCAATGTTTCGATATGACCAATGGAGGGGACATGGCCCACTGCCCCCCCCCATGGCTACGGGACTGTATATTTTACCAAAATGGTGAAAAGTTTCAAAGAGCATAATAAATTTAAACATAATATATAGGTATTTATATGTAGGTACCTATACATTTTGTTAACATTTTCACTTTTTCAGTCAGACCAATAATATTAGTATTACAGTAATATTCTGCAGTATTACACATAAAATAAGATAATATACATAATATAATATAACATAATCTAATCTTGTTTTAATTCATGTAAATAAAACTTACTATTTGATACATTTTGTACATTTCTCGGATGGCATTTTTTTTATTTATTTTAATTATGTATAAACCATATTTGTACAATCAGAAATCACGAGATAAATATGAAAAATGATGTAAAACGGTAAAAACATAAAGTTAACAACACAATAAGTCTGTATAAAGATAAAGTTTATCTTGAAAATAAATAGATTAAGCATTCCTGCGCACAAAACATTATATATATATGCACAATATTATGCCTAGTAAATATTAATAAATAATAATATACGTAGGTACCTACTAAATCACATTTTAAACTATTATAGTTTTTATGTTGTTATGAAACCATTAAATTATATTATTATAAACGAACACACGCAATTAATAAAAATAGC